ATTTTATTGCATTGTGTCTTAACTTCATTGCATTTTTATTTCATTGCGTTTTATTTTCCTTTTATTCCATTTTCACAGAATCACAGAATTTGCATTTTGCATAAAATGCAAACGCATTTCRTTGCATTTTATTTTTTCCTTGCATTTTATTGCACTGCATTTTCTTTTTTTAATTGCATTTTATTTTATCGCACTTTGATTCCATTTTATTTTATTTTATTTTATTTTATTTTAGCACCTCGCTGAGTGTCACGAAGTGACCCCGGCCTGGGCAATGGGGCTGCCCCGAGGAGGCTGCTGCTTGGTCCTCCAAGCAGCATTAAAGCCATTAAAATAGATGCACATACATCACCTCCATATATACACACGTATACACGTATCCATACATTATATATATATATTTATATATATATATATTTATATATATATAAAAATAACTTTGTTTGCATGGGTGCCAGGGAGCCGGCGGCCCCCGAGCGCCCCGACACGACGCCCCCCCCATCCCGCACGGAGCATCCCGCATTTTGAGGGCACCCGCATCCCGCGCGGATCCCTCTGCTCCGCAGCCGGATCCCGGGAAGGCTGCGGAGCCGGGGTGGGGGGGCCGTATCCCGCTTGGAGCGAGGCCGGAGYGGCCTCCCGGCGGCCTCTTTAAGCRGAGGCCGGTGCCGGTTATTTTTACGCGGTTGCTGCCGCCGTTTAAAATTTCCTTGGAGTCTTTTCCCCCTCCGGCGGCTCCCGCCTCGGCCCCCCCCTCCTGGCACGAATCCCGCCAAAAGGCGGCCAGGAATGGGGGGGGGCCCCTCCGGCGATCCCGGCCCCCACCTGCACTTTTGTTTGGATTGGGAGGCCGCGGAGGGGGCGGGGAGGCCGGAGGCAGATCCTCCGAAATGCCCGCTTGGAAGCAGCCGGGATCGCTGGGAGCGGGGCCAGCGCTTTTCCACCCCGGCAGCGCCCCCCTTCCCGGGAAAAAATCCCGGGAGCTGGAGTGCCGGGATGTGGGTGTCCATGGGGACCGGATCCCCCATCCCGGTGATTAATCCCGGGACTAACCAGGTGCTGAGGAAACCTGATCCTGTGTCCGGGATACACYGGGATATTCCCTTTCCCGCTCCGGGAATAGGAGCCAGGTGTGGCCAGAGCGGCCGGGAGCGCTGCACGGATGGGGAATCCTGGGGATACCCCTGGGCAAACGCACCCACCTCCCCGGCCCTCCTCTCTTCCCAATGAATTCCAGGCGCATTCTCACGGGAACGCCGGGTGATTCGGGGGGCTCCGGAGTCCAGCCATTTTCCCAGTTTTCCACGCTTTTTTTCCCCAGTTTTTCCCCATTCCGTCCCCGTTATCCCCAGGTGACAGGGATGCTGCCTCGGCCAGAGGTTGATTTTTGCAAGTTATTCCCAACCGGCYGAGGCCGTCACGGATGAGCCCTGGGCTGGAAGCAAGCTGGGAAGAAAGGAGGGAATAACGGGAATAAATCACATTCCCTAAATCCCCCAAATCCATTGAAATGCCCCTAAATCCCTGTGGGTCCCGTGTTAGCCCGCTCTGCAGCGCGATGCCCTCGTGCTCCTTCCGCTGAGGTTTCCCCAGGGAATTTAACGGGCTCCTGCCAAGGTTTTCCCAGGGAATTTATGGTCTCCTTCCCCCTAGCGCTGACGTTTTTCCAGGGATTTTATGGCTCCGTCAGCCCTGGCTGCAGCGACAGGGGGGAACATCCACGCAGGTTTCCCCTGCTCCCAATTTGTGCAAAAACGGGATGCGCGGAGCCGTCCGGAGCGGCCGGGCAGCACCCACGCGTTTCCCGGGTGGCGTCGCCCGTTTTCCACCCATTTTCCCCTTCTCAAAAGGCGCCCGAGGTGAAGAGGTGGGAAGAGCTGGAGCGGGAAGCGGAATTCCACCGCCGGCCCAGTCCTGCTGGGCTCATTGCAATAGTCCTTATTCCCCTGGCTGCTGTTTTTCCCCGGGATCTGCAGCCCAGTGGGTAAATTCCCAAGGAATGAACCCGGTCCTTCCCCCCGGAGCTCCGGCCATGGCCCCGTGTTCCGGAGGCACCTTCCTCCAGGGATGGGGCTGGCCGCATCCGACGCCCGGAGCGGGATGGGAGCCCGTGCTCCCCCCTGCGCGTCTCTCGACGCAATTCCCTGTGTCCGGCAGATCGACGAGATGCCGGAAGCGGCGGTAAAATCCTCCTCCAACAAATACCAGGTCTTCTTCTTCGGGACCCACGAAACGTGAGTCGGGCGCCGGGATGCGCGGGCGGGCGCCGGTGCCCGCGGGCCAACGCCGCCGCCGTGCCCCTTTTCTTCCCCCTCCCCCCCAATCCCAGGGCATTCCTGGGCCCCAAGGACCTCTTCCCGTACGAGGAATGCAAGGAGAAGTTTGGGAAGCCCAACAAGAGGAAAGGGTTCAGCGAAGGGTTGTGGGAGATCGAGAACAACCCGACGGTGAAAGCCTCCGGCTACCAGGTGGGTTGTTGTCAAGGGCGGTTGTTGCGTCCCCGCGGGCTCCGTCCCGCTGTTCCCGCCATCCGCGTCCCCGTGACGGCTCCCGGTGTCACCCCGCAGCCCACCCCGAAGAAGGCGTGCGCGGAGGAGGGCGCGCGGGAGCCCGACGGCGACAAGAAGGGCAGCGCGGAGGGCAGCAGCGACGAGGAGGGCAAGCTGGTCATCGACGAGCAGTCCAAGGAGAAGAACGAGAAGGGCGGCAGCAAGCGGAAAGCGGAAGATGCTCTGGAGGTAGCGGGATTTGGGGGGACCCGCGGGGGTGTTGGGGGGGATACGGGACAGGCTGAGCGCCGCTCGGCTCCCCCAGGACTCCCCCAAACGCGCCAAGGAGGCGGAGGGGCAGGAGGGCGAGAAGAAGGTTGATAACCAAGAGGCCGCCAAGGAGGAGCCCAAGGGCAAGGCGGGCGAGGGGGAGAAGAACAGCGACGGCGGCAGCGCGCCGGGCGCCGGCGAGGCCCCGCAGGAGGGCAAGGACAAGGCGGAGGAGCTCAGAGACCACAAGGAGAGGTGAGGGCAGCGCCGGGATCCCCCGCGTTCGCGTCGCTCCGGAGCCGGGCGCTCCCCGGGTGTTTTCCGGAGCGTCCCCGCGAGCGCCCCGTCTCTTTTCCCCGGCTCTCGCAGCCCGTAGCGGCCTCGTCCCCGCCCGCCGCGCGCTGCTCCGGCGCCCGGCCGCCGCTCCGAGGGGCCGCACGCGCC